TACTGGGTCTCCCTCCCTCGTTATCTGTTAAAAGATGAATGTTGATCAATAAGCACTATTGCATCATATTTTAACTTCAAAGCGAAATGTTTTTGTTGAAACTCACGGTTTCGCCCTTGGTGAAGATGAGGGACTTGACACGATCACAAATGTTCTCAAGAACAAGATCATCCATATGTTGAAACAAAGGAACCTACGAATTAAAAACCAAAGTTTCACACAAAAACTCTCTATTTTTTATTCATTTGTTTGTCAATTTTGTACTCACCTGCCTAACCAGATCCAAGCAAAGGTGATACTTGATGTCTCGCCGGAGGCCTTCCGGTAGATTTCTGATCATCTCGCACTCGTCAACCCCGCGCATCGCCGCCCACCGCTGCCTCTCGTAGTTCCGAACCCGCTGCCGGAACCCTTGTGGCAGCCGCCTCTTCCTCATCCACCACTCCAAGTTCCTCATCTTCAGCTGCATGGCTTGTTTCTTTGACGTAGTTGCATGCAGAAACACCTTCATATATATATAATATATTACTAAGAAATATATATGATGGCTCAAAATTATTGATTTACATAAATTGTTCAATCTACTCTACTATCATTGCTTTTCTCCCTTTTTTTAGCTTGATGCTCTCTAAAGTATTGGCATGCTTTAAATAATTTCTCCACATAACTTTATGATTCTATAAAATATAGTATTAAAACATTATTAAGGATTGAGAGAGGAAAATTAAATGATTTAGCTCTGTACTTTTCCTTGCTCTTAGTAATGTTTAACATTGATTTTTCTCTTAGAAAAAAAAATTTATACCCTAAACTTTGACACGTTGAATTAATAATTAAAAATAATTGTATCTAAGTAAAACTCTATAGTTAATTAATTTACACTTTTCATGTTCTATTTGAAAACTTTTTGGAAAAAACATATATACAATATTGCAAAATAAAACTGTTTAAATCTGYCAAAACCTCAAGGATATTTTTTGAAGTTTCAAATCACCCAACCTATTTWGGGGACTTAAGTTTATAAATACTATATATTTCCACAGTGTATCTATTTTGTTATGTTTTAATATACTTTATTTTTTTTTATTATTTTTAAAATCTAAAAAAAATTTAGAAACTTATTTTTGTTTTTGAAATTTGACTAAAAACTAATCAATCTTGTATTCCAAAAAGATGAAAAAGATACCAAAGAAATTATCAGAAAGCAAACATAATTTTAAAAAATAGAAAACTAAAAACCAAATCCTTAAMAAATCAAATAGCTCGCGGTTAAAGTTTCTGAGTTTGTTTTATTTTGATTTTTAAATTTTAAAAATATAAGGTCTATTATAGTCCTAATATCTAAAAATAAAAAATAATCATTTTGGCCTTTGCCACCTCATATCGAACTGAATATCTATCTTAGCCTGTCTATTAGCTTTAATAATACACGCCAACATAAAAACATATTTAGTCATATTATCCATCTATAAAATAATTAATAATAGCCGAATAACAACACAAAGACTGCCAAAAGGATAATCTTTAAAATTTTAAGACCAAAATAAAATAAGCCTAAAATTTGGAGATGAAAATGAGATTTAACAAATAATATTAATAAAATTGATATTCATGGTGATTATCAATAAAAATTTAACAGCTTTTTAAATTAGTATTTTGAAATTTTTTTTTTTACATTTATCTCTTTTACTTGTCGAAAATTTAATAGTTGTCTGTCCGTCAAAGATGGGCGGTGATCATAAGTACCACGTATTATTTAAAATTAATATAAGATATTATATGAAAAGAAAAATGAAGTGTACCTTGATATTTCCAATCAACATGGTGACCAAAAGGAGTCCACTGGTGAGTACAATGATGTTGAACACAACTTCCACCCATTCTGTGGTGCTCTCCAAGTTCCCAAAGGTACTGTGTTGTGTTAATTAACATAACCTCTCATCAACTAATTTAATTTTCTCCAAAAACCAAACAAAAACAACACAAAGATCAAACCAAACAATTACCTAAGAGTCATGAGGCCCCAAAATATGGGGAACAGAATCTTCTCCAACCGACTCTGGTTGACAACAAGCTGAACAGTCCATTTATAAGCTCCATAATCAAAATTCTCTGCAGTTTCCAAGCACATCAATTTTGGCTGCCTGTTTTCTGCCCATTCAAATCTTGCTCTGTCTCTTCCCATGTTGGTTGCTCCATAGAATATTGGCTGTTTGCACGACAGCACCCTCGCCCCGCAGCTGCTGCTCCCTCTGCATTGCTCTTTTAGGCACTTTGCTGCTCTCTGAATTCCCAGCAGGTACCAGCATGCTCCTGCACCCTGCATCCCCCATATTCCTCAAAACCGACCGGACCCGACTCGACTCTCGAGATTGCGTATAATTTACTTACGTGGGCAGCAACGAAGTAAGCAATGAGATTGAGAGCAATGCCCCACCAGACAGTGCCGAAGATGTAGCCGGAGAGGTTTTGGAGGCGGCGCAAGAGGCAAAGGGAGTGGTAAACTTTCGGCAAATATTGGAACAAAAATACTATTAACAACACTGTCATCACCATTGTCACTGAGCCTTGTTTCATTATTGAAGGAATTACAACCCATAATAAAACCTGCATGGTTTTACCCAACACAGACCCCATCTCATCATCAATTTTTTCAAAACATATCCATGCCATTGTTCCTTTCATCAACCTTTGTCACACATCTTAATTTCCTTTTTAATTAGTTTTTTTTTATTATACATATACATATATATATATAGATTTATGTGTAACAAAGTAACCMACGTTAGATTTTTCAGTGCATGGATAATTGATTAAAAATATTATATTGTTTTCATTAGATATAAGTCAATCTGACGTAGCTGAATTTGAATAATTAAAAATTTCTTTTAACATAATTATTTACTTGAAAAATTAATTGAAAAATAAAAGTAATAAATGGAGAATTAGGATCAACTCATATCTTTACAAAGTTTCTTGAGAAAATTCACGGAGACAGAAGAATTAAATTGTAGGTAGGGACGGGGAAGCCTTCCTCATTATGAACACCCTAGTGAATAAGCAAGCTCGATTAAAAATTTGGTGGATCGGTCTAATAAACCAATCTAAACTAGGATCAAATGGACCCGTTCACACTAAAAAGTGATTCATATCCGATTCAATAAATGAATGGGCTAGAAGGACCAAAAGATCGGTCCCGACTGGCCTATGAGCCTCACCACTCCTTGTGAGCAGGTTGAAATAAGTGATGAAAAGAAAAACAAAATTGTAAATTGATGGATAGAAAATGACGAAAACACATAAAAAGGGAGATTCATGATTCATATCCTACAGAAAAAGACATCCAAATTTCACATGTCCCTCTGCCCAAAACTCACGGCTTTGAAAAGACCACATTGTATTATTATTCATGTACGCCCACGAACCCCACAAACAAAAATAAAAATAAATACAAATTTTATTCTGATAATATAGTACTGCCTATGTAGTACGTTAAATTACTACTAAACCAAAAAAAACAAACAGTTGAACATGTTTTGTTTCAAAATTTAAGAAATTTTTATTGTTTCATTCATATTAACAAAAATCGTTTGGTTGAAAACCTATCTTCATTCACTTTCAAAGATTAATTACGATTTTGAAATTATTTTTAAATTTTACATTTACTAAGTTTCACAAATAGAATTAATACTAGCTATGAAATAAGATTAAAAAAAAATTACTCATATTTGAACTTAAAACCTTTTTAGTGTCTTACTATATATATATATATATATATATATATATATTTTGACATTAGTGTATAATTCATGCTAATTAGACCTAGCTAGAAGTTTAGTTATTTGGACTACTCAAGAGTAAAATTAATGTTTTTTAAAATGATCCAAATTAATCCAAATTTGTTTCACTAGTTTGTGAAGTCTAGATTTGTTGGACAAACCTATAGATTTTATCAAGGCCTACTTCCTCCAAACCCACCCCATAAAGTTTTCCTAAACTCGACTTGATATTGAGTTAAGCTTATATTTTGCACTTTAGTTTGCTTATTTTGTGGTCTACTTACTATTTTATTTTTTAACTCAGATCCCAAATTAACTCATGTTTTTCTGATGGTTTTTT